GGCACCCTGCTCCGAAAGCAAACGGGCACCGCAGAGCGGGGACGACGCGGGGGCCTCCGAGAGACCTTTCATGAGATGTCCACAGCCATGGGTCCCATCTGCCAGGCGCTCCCCGGGCTGGGCTGCTGACTTGGGCATGACGTGCCCGTGGGGTTTTTTTAGTGAAGACCAATATAAGAACGTAGTTGAGATCAAGGCCCTGCTCTCATGAGTGACGATAAAGAGCAGAATTTTTTTTTCAGCAAATCCAGTGGCTGATGCATAACAGGTTACGATGCTTGGGTGCATCAAGCTGTGTGTGCATTACAAGCCTAAACCACACCTGCACGCACAGAAGCCTTGTCCATATTTCAGATTCGGTTCTATCCATTTTGAATTTAAAGACGACATCTGAGGTTCTCTCGGAGGCCACCATATTTTCCCCAAACGAGCGAGACTAGCTCTACAGCAGTGACTTGAGTGATGTTCTGGAGACACGTGAGCTCCTCCAAGGCATGTTCTCATATTGCCGTCTTCCCAAGGCAATGTTCTCATATCAAGCAGCCAGTCTTTTTGGAGATGCCTTGGGAAGACAGGTAAGCTCAAGCCACAGGGCTCCTGCTATGAGGAACCAGCAGCCCAGTGTTGAGCAGAAAGGGTGCCAAGGCAGTGGTGCCTGCAGATCACCCCCAGGCACCCGGGAGGGAAACGGGGATACCGTGTTCCTCCAACCCACTTCCTAACCACGCTGTGCGCTTCAGCTGCGTGTCAGCAGCCATCACCTTCATGTGGCGCTGGGCTTGACGTGCTGTGAAGGCTGCACCAGCGCAGGGCTGCCAGCTGGCTTAGTGAAGTGGGTAGATGAGGATAGACAGACAGTGTGAGTGATGGAAGCTGCAGCCAGAACATACAGTTACTCCCTTTTTTTTTTAAATTTTTCTCCAATTAATTTATCTGCCTGCATCCAAAATATATTCAAAAGTGGTTCACTGTTTTCTTGGTTAAAAAAAAATCCAATTTTCATAACGGCTGAATCCATCTGTGCACCCACGGCTCGCTCTCACATTCACTTTGCCTGCGCACAGACAGGAGTTGAGATTTAAAGGTGAAACTGGGAAAGCAGAGAAACCCCTGCCGAGGGAAGCCCAGGGCAACGCTGCTGCTTGGGGCCGGCGCTGGGAGCAGCACCCGCAGCAGCAGCCAGCCAAACAGCCACGACCCTGCTACAACTTTGTCCTGGCTTTTTATTCAAGGTAGCTAGGTTATTCACCAAACTACACTTCTCACTCTTTCTCATCCCTAACATTTTTATTTAGCCTATTCTGGAGCTATTTAGCTTAGTTTTCTCCTGTTTATTAGCTCCATGGGAAATACGGTTTTCCTGGATTAAGCAGCGAGCAATCAGCCCAGCACGTTCTCACGCAAAAGGGAGTCACCGTATGTCTGGCTGCATGGTAAGTTTGGTCTTTCAAACAGCAGTAAAACCTGACAAAGTCTGCTGAAACCAGCCCCTGGCTTTCTGGGGTTTGCAGCGGACTTTGGACCAGGCTCTGGTTCTCATCCTCTCCAGTAGCTGATCTCAGCCAGCACCATGAATGAACGGCAAGAAGGTCAGATACTGGGAGGAAGATTTTCAATGGGTGGGTTTACGGCTATTGGAAAACAGGGTTGTCCTGTTTTGTTGGGTTGCTGGTTTGGGGGTGCTTTTTTAAGCAAGATCTTGAAGTCAGTTCATAAATGTCTTGGGAAAATGCAACCAATCAGACACACACTGGGAACGAATCCAATGAAAACTTACTGACCACCACAACGTGACTTCCAACAGGTTTCTAAGATGGTTTAACGGGCTGGCTGCTGTGTTTCAAATACAGGCTAATGCTTACCCTAGGCAATATATCCAGATTGTCTGCCCGAGGGCTAAAAGGCACCAGTAACACAGGAAAACACAAAGGGACTCACACCCGGAGTGGCACAACCCAGTGCTGGACCCCAGCCCTGTTTGGGAGCAGGCAGATGGGGCACAGGGAGCCCCATCGCACCCAACAAAACCCCCTGATGTTACGGGACTATCCGACCTACACCTCTGACTCCTGCAGAAACCCAGAGAGATCTGGCTAGCCCCTGAAAACCTGCCCGAAGGGGATGCATGGCCCTGCCCGGGATGCCCGCTGTGTGAAGTGGAAAACGAACAGCAATGTTTTGCATTTTAGCTTCTGGGAAAGCCACCTCCTCGATGCCACCAACCCCGAGAGTGACGTCCCAGAGGTCGTGAATTCTCATAGCCCTGTATAACCTGTTATTTCAGCTGAAAGAGCTGCCTGGTGTGATGACGAGTTACCTCTCCTTCAAACAAGCCAGACGGATGCTGCTAAAACACAGAGGTGCTGTATCAGCATCATCCGTCACGGCTCCGCCATCCTTCCCCACCCGTGTCAACAGATCGTGATGGATAAATGAAATGCAAGAAAAGGGAAAATGTTCACTGAATCCTGATTTGTTTTTTCTCCCCTTAGAGGGAAAAAAAAAAGGAAAGAAAAGGGGGACCCAGGGCAAATGCTTCTGGGGAAAGTGTCGGGCCAGAAGTTTGCTGAAAGGCAGAAGAAGGACCATTAGAGACCAGCTGGAGTAGCAAGGAGAGCCCAGGCAAGGGCGCAAGGAGAGTGGCATTTACCTACGATCCAGGGCAGCTCGGGAGAGAGATCTTCACACCTGGGCACGGCAACTGTCACAACACAATGCAACTACCAGCAGACGTGGAGAAATAAATGTGAAAAGAAGAGCACGTACACACAGAGACACGAAAAGAAAAACAAAACAACAGGGAAATTAAAATCAAGTCAAAAAGAAATACACACAAAAAAACAAAGTAAAAAAACTCCAAAAGAAAATGCATATACCAGCCCTTAAGAGCTCTTGAAATCAACTTTTTCAACCTAAAAAAAGCAAATAAATCAACAAAACTATATATGCAAATAACAAAAATCAGTATGGAGACAGTGGCATCATGAAGGCGGCCGCGGAAGAGGGAGGTGGAGGAGGAGGTACCTGTACATGGGGACAGTGACGGTGCGTTCGTAGTACTGCCAGGTGGAGTGCAGGTCCGTCCGGGACAGGTTGGTGGCATAAAATCTCCAAGCCGCCTGCGGAGAAGGCACGGTGGGATGGTGGACCCAGGCACGGTCCTGAGCACTACCCTCAGTTTTTCAAACCTCAGCTAACAGCAAGTTCTCCCGTTCTTCCTGTGGGATGGGTCTGACATTTTGCCTTTTCCTTGATTTGATACGTGAGAAATTTGGGCTGGTACCACACAACTCCTGGCCACGTAAGCCCAGCTAAAGGTGTTGTGGGTACCAAGCACCCGTTGCCAGGGTGAGGTCAGGTATTAAATGGGTGTTGCTGCCCATGAGGGAGTTAAAAAATTTGGGGAGAGAGGAGCAGGGGAATGTCAAAAAACTCTAATTTCAAATCTCCAAGACACACACCAAGGCCAGCCTTCTGCGCAGGCATCTGTTCTCGTGAAGAAAACGCTCCCAACTGCAACTTTATATCCGTATAAATATTCTCTTTGGGGGAGAGAAAAAAAAAAAGTTTGGTGAAAACAGACTGTCCTAATGCATTTGTCTTGCTGCGCTGGGCTGAGTTTCATTCCTTTTCTCCCCCAGACTGCCTACCACATATGCTATTTTCCCATGGCTGATTTCCTGGCATTTATTCCCAGACAAGACCAGTCACCAGCTGCTGTCTCACACCTTACACACGCGGCCCCATTTTTCACCTGCCCATCTCCTCCCCAACTTGTACAAGTCTATTAAGCCCGTCAAAATCAGGGCGATCTAACCCTGAGGCTCCCTGGATGTGATCCTCACCTGAATCAGGCCCGCTGCTGGGTTTCGCCTCTTCTCAAAGTGCTTTTGTCGATGCTGCTCTTGGACCTTCAGAGCAAACCCCGAACCCAAGATGCCCTGGGGAAGAGAACGAAAATTTGCAGTCAGCGAGGCGTTAGCTAAGTTTTCACCAAAAAGTTGCAGCCAATTTTCCCTCCAAAGGTTTGCCCTGGCTCATTTTTTTTACATTGAAATGTACAGGGGAAGGAAGGAGCAGCCTCCACCCAAGGCAGCCCCGGCAGACACACTCCCCACGAAGGGGCAGCAGTGGGGAGCGGACTTTGCTGGCACTCACTGGGATTGCTGCTTTTACCAAACCACCTCCAGCCAGCTGGTAAAATACAAAATGACCACACTGTGCTGGCATTCAGCAAATTATCCCCACAGGGGAAAATCAGATCCAGGCACCACACTCAAATGCAGTGTGAAAGGGACGGGAGTAATTTGCTGAAACGGCATAATCACCCCTAGGAACAGCCCCTTGCAGGAGAAAAATGGTTTCACTTCAATAAACATTTGTGCAGAGCCAAATCTAGAATTGCCATCCCATTTGCTCATAAGCATTGTGTCTGAGCTGTGGATATTCAGACAGGGTTTCCCCTCTTCTGCCCCGTTTTTTGACTCAGAAGCCATGGAGCAGTCGCGGTATGGAGGTCTCCGCTGGAAGTAGCATTGCCACCAGCTCCCGGGGCCGGGGACGAAGCGCGGCAGAGCTCAGCCCCCCTCCCAGCGAGACGCTTACGGCAGGGAGGGCGAAGAAGGAGACGCCGATGAGCGTGAACGTAGCCGCCAGCAGCCGCCCGTTCCAGGTCTGTGGGTACTTGTCCCCGTCGCCGATGGGGGGAATCTGCAGGGAGGAGATCACGGCACAGCCCCGAGTCAGACAGCCTTCAAACTAAAACAACGCGGCCGAAGCTCCCGCAACACCAGAGTGGGGCTTGGGGGACCAAGTCGAGCGCAGCTCGGGCTCTGGGGACAGGGAAGCAGCGATGCCCCCAGCCCAGGACAGAGCTGCCACCCTCTCTGCTCGACCCGCTGGGTTTTCACGCCAGTCGGGAGCATTTTCTCGCCTTCAGCTGACGCAG